GACAGCATGTTATTTAAGAAAGACCGAAAACAACGCAAAACGGATTTGGGTCACTTTCGAAAAAAAAAAACAACCAGAAAATGGTCCTTGAATATCTTAATTATAGCAGAAAAGTAATCTAAATTTATTTTAGGAGCTGGAAATATATTTATTTTATTTTAGGAGTTGTAGATATTGATCCTGCAGAGATTTCAAAGTGCATGTTTAGAGCCATTAGTAAATTTCCTCCAGTGAACCTACAGACAGTGAGGGTTATTGTTTTCCAGAGCAAAATGTTTCCAGTATTTAAATCTACACTTCAGGCCCTTTCTCAAGTACCTTTACCACAAACCATGGATAATTTTACAAGAAAAACGAGAGGTTTTGTAAAATTTTAAAAATATATTTTGAGAAATAGGGAATAGAAAGTAAAACATGTTATAATGCCAAGCAGAGTAAAACTTTATTTCTTCCTTTTTTTTATTTATTTGAAAAAAAAAATAATCATAAATTTGAATATTCTTAAATATACTGGATAATACAATGTCAATTATTGTTATTGAATGATATTATGAATAATTAGTATGATTTTTAATAAGTTGATATGGGATGTGATGACAAAGATGAAACGAACTCAAACTCTAAGGAAAGCATCAGTGATTTTGATAGGAAGTTAAAGAAAGAATATGAATGGAAGGAGGATATTGATGTATCGAAATACATATTAAGAGATAACCAGGTAAGATTAGATTATCAGTGTAACCAAGTAAAAGACATTTTAATCATTGAAGTTGACACTTGCCATTAAATAAGGTAAGCGAAATTTAAATGATAACATAGAGTATTTATCCCAAACGTATAGAGTTCAAAGTATAGCTTGTTTTGCAGATTGATGAAATTAAAAGAATAGCAAAAGACACCAAAGTCATCATCAAAGAGAGAAACATTGAACTGCTTGGTTTAGCATCAAAAGTTAACGAAGCCGCTGTAGCTATTTATAAGTATCTTCATGAAGTGAATGACAAAGAGAGCGCTCAGACGGTCCAGAAATACGTCAAATGGCAGTACGAAGCGTCGCCAGGTAAATGGTCAACGCTGAGGGATGACGTCAACTTACAAATAGAGAAGGCTTACCAGGCCAAGAGAGATTCCTGTACGATAACAGACCGTATCGGAAATGAATATGTTATTGACTTTACAAAAATGGAGGAATATGAGATATACAACGACTGGAAAAAGTACAAGATCAAGCGAGCAGAAATAGGTGAGCATTTTTTCTTTGGAGACAATCTGACTTTAAAGCAATCTGACTTAAAGACCCTTCTCTCTATTTTCATCACTTCATAGAGTTTACGGAACAGGCCTGGGAATTCGGACTTTTTTTCAATTCAATAAGCATCAAAATAAGAAATTTACGAGGCATTTACCGTTTCTTCAATCACAATAAGGTTTAATTGTTAAATTGAAGAAATAGTTATAGTATATTAACACCCCACCCGATAATGAATAATGACAAAGAATGAAAAGAATGAAAAGTATAAGATATTCAAAAAACAATTTTACCGTTTACAATATTTGATCATGATCAGTGTATAACAAACTCTCATTCACCCCGTGTTTGCAAAACTGTGATGAAGATGTAATGTTAGTATATTAAAAAAAAAGGAAATCTTTAAATGTAAACAAAGATACTTAGCGGGTCCCAGGGAACATTTTGGAAAATTTGAAAAATTTTATTAAAATCAATAACATTAAAACTTTCGACTTTTCAACTCTATATACAACCATTTCCCACAATAAATTAAAATCCAGGCTATTTTACATCATCGACACTACTTTTTCAATAAAAATGGAACTTCTAAATTTACTTACCGTGGCATTGGTCATTTGGAAAATTATTTTGTTAAAAAACATTCTGATTATACACACAAGTACTCTGAAGTAGATATTAAAAAGATGCTTGAGTTCTGATTGACAATATCTACCGGTATGTGGTTTTTGGAGACCAGGTCTTCCAACAAACTATTGGAATTCCCACGTGTACTAATTGCGTCCCGTTACATATGTATTAGCAGACCTATTTTTGTATATATTTGAAGCAGAATATATCCAAAATCTTATACATGAGAAGAAGAAAACACTTGTTGTTGCTTTCCACTCGACATTTAGATATATCGATGACGGATTTGCAATTAACGATCATTGTTATTTCCATTCATATGTCGATGCGACATATCCCAATGGGCTTGAAATAAAAGATACCACAAAGTCTGACACATCTGTTTAATATTTGGATATTTTACTAGGTGATAAATAAATACTACAACTAACTCAACGGATTACATATCTTGGGACACTCTTTCTCCTCCAGCATATATAGATATAGTCTAATCAACTCAAGTTTGGAAAGTTTCCACAGCTTTTGTTGAGTAATTTCTTCCATGGGCAAGGATTCCTTTATTCCAGCATATTTATTACTCAAAATCCATAGTTTAATGACAGCCTGCATAGCCTTGATACTCCTTGCCAGACTCCAGATGCATCCAATTCAATTCTGCCTTTTGAGTCCACGTTTGGACAACCTGGATCACATGAAGTCAATCAACTTTCTCCTTTCACATCTTTTTTGGTGGACAGAGCAAGGAACTTCTTTGCAGGAACATCTATCCTGAGTTTTAAGGCAGATCAAACATTGTGGACAGATGCCTCCTCTTACGGTTGGGGAGCCCACCTTACAGAGAGCAATGTGTCCAACAAATTTCACATATTCTGTTGGAACTCATTGCAATGAAGAAAGTTGTTCATCACTTCAAGAACAATGTCACAACAAACAAATCCTTTTGACGACGGACAACTCAACAATGGTGTGATTCCTCAACACATTCATCAAACCCTTGCATGTTGACATGGAGGATTCTGCATTGGTGTCGCCTTTTAGTGTACAAATTCAGGCGCACACATTCCTTGGGGAAAGTCCAAAGATGACAGAGTCTCAGTCAGGAAGAAGTTCAACAGGTTTTTTTTTTTTTTTTTTAGATTTTCTTCTTTCCAGACATTGATCTGTTTGCGACAAGGGAAAATCAGGAAAAAAAAAACAGTTTTGTTCTCCCTTCCCAGTTCTCTAGCATGGGGATATAATGCACAAATTGTAAATTGTATAGAAAGGTCTGCAAATGCCATACCGCTACCAATATTGATTCCAAACGTACTCAAAAAAATTGTCGAAAGGAACGTTAAACAAACAAATGTATCTAAAGAGAATGGTAAACCACAAACCAAAATGATCTTTTTAAGTTAACATAATTAATTTGGTAGACTTTTCCATCCACTTGCATGGAGAACGTGGCCATTAGCCAAACACTTTTACAGGTTATAGGCCAACAATAGCTTCTGTTCATAATGTCTGGAGCAACACTTCCGTCGGTACTGATTTATCAAAACTAATTAAAGGAATTTAGAAATCTTAAACAAGTGGACCATTACTTCCAATTCGGGAACTATTTTTATGGAAATGTGTGATTATCCTTTTGAACCAATGAAAATAAAGTTTCTTATTTTATTATTTACACTATTTACACACCATTATTTACACACTGAATTGTCGACGGATTTTTCCGTTATTTCCCGATCATGACAAGAAGCACACGGCGGGTGTGACAGGTCGGCAGGGGATGCTCACTCCTCCATGGCACCTGATCCCATCTCTGATGTTTGGGGGTCCGTGTTTGCTCTGCTCCTATTTTGTATTGTTTAATGGGCTTTTGAGTTTGAATACTGTTCGTTATCTCCATATATTTCATTCGAAAATAAATTTCTAGCAGCAACGTCAAGAGAGAGTGAAATTCAGACACACTCTATCGGAGACGCACTTGCGTTTCTAAAGGAATGGAATCCAACTTTTACCAAACATACAGTTATTAGCAAAAACTCAAAAGTTAGGAAGGCCATGGAAAATCTATCATCATACCAGCGTTTAACACAGACACCAGAGGCTTACTCTTGTGCGATTGCAGAACACTAAAAATGTATCTCGAACGAAAAAAGTCTTCTCTTTGAAATGAAAAGTTTTAGTTATTATGATACAAATCAGGCCTTCAAAAACCAACATCAGAGAATTGGGGTGTGTCTTTAATGCAATTTGTGTATGAACAGAAAGGCTAAACCCTAAATAGCGTACTGCATGGTATTAGACGCATATCATCTTTATGGACCCATTTCAATGGAGCAACAGTGGAAGAAATTTTACAGAGAGCTCATTGGGCAACAAAAACCACTTTAGCTGCATTGTACATGGGGGATATACCTCAAGAAGAAGCTCTGTTTGTCAAGTCTTCAGTCCTTGACACTTTCCAGATGGGCAAAGGGAAAAGAACAGAAATAGAGTACACCTGTAATAGTGATTGCAATCTTTTACTATTTTTTTAGATGGTAAATGGAATTAAGCTATTCCACACTAGTTCTGCTACACATTTGCAAAACGTTGATGCAGGTGAGTATAGATATTGATGTAAACCAGAGATTTTTATTAAGGACAAAACTTCTATTATTTCATCTGCATCACCCTAGTTGTCTGGGTCCTCTGAAGCAGAAGTTCTTGCGGATTACGGTTGTACAGACAGTGTAAATTATCAAAGGGATGGTCCCAAAAGTTCAGGAAAGATTGTAAGCAGCCCGGTGAAAATGCAAAAAGTTGTTGCAAATGTAGTACAGATATTTTAACAGAGGTTTTACTCTTTTAAACCTCCATATCAATGAAAAGTTCATGAAGATCAACTTCATATTTTATTTTTAAATCATGTGAAAGACTTTGTCTAGATAAGAATAAACAGTAAAATCACTACAAGGTCTTCTGTGTAGATGGGTGACCTAAGAAAGACAATATCTGAAATACTGGAAGAGTGGAACGTGCATGTAAATTACCCTGTATATTAAACTTCTTTAAAAATAAATAATCATGGTGAGAAAATTAATAGAAATAAATAAAAGATATTTTTATTTTATGGATTAATTTCAAGGTTCTCTCGATGGGTTGCCAACTACATGGACATGCATGACAAATAACCAAACTGTGGTTGAGATCACCTTGAATAATTGGGACAATGAGTATCAAGAGGTCATGTCAAAGTTCAAGGCCTCCAGTAAGAGTTCAGTGACAGTTTCAGAGGTAGGACAAATATTCTATAAATAACCACATTAAAAAGCCTATCTTGGAATTTTTCTCTTTAATTGAAAATTTGTAAACCAGATGAAACAAAAACGGGGATAAATTTAAAGAAAAATTACAAAATTAGTCACTTTTGAAATAAAGAGGAAGCATCATACTAGTAATATAAAAATAATTCAGAAAAACTGCATAGATGTAAAACTTTTCTATAAAATATCTTTTGAGCATCAATGATCGAGTTTCAACTAATTTTTCATTATTTTCATTTTTAAATGCTTAAGTAGACAATTATTAGGATCTATAGTAATAACATCATGAGATGTCAAACATTACATAGACTGGATTTCAATCAGTGAAGCAATGATCTTCACAATCATAACGAAAATATGATTTACTAGTATATTTGGGGTTGTTTCTTATTGCTTGTATTGATTTACAGAGGATCATGTGAGATTTATCATATAACTGAATTTCATCGAGAATTGTACACTGAAATCAATTTAATTAAGCACAAATACGCAAATTAGGTCCGTAATCCTTTGTAAAGACATTTTTTCTCTTTTGAATCTAAAGAAATGAAAAAGTGAAGATAACAGTCAAACATTTATCGATCTTAAAAAATTATAAACAATACAAATCTTTGAAGAGGTCATAAAACACGTACATCTGGAAATTCCAGAGATGGCATCAGGTGCCTAGGAGGAGTACGCATCCCCTGCTGACCGGTTAAACTCGCCGTAAACCCTATGTATTGATCAGGTAGACGGAATATTCCGTAGTCAAATTCAGTATAAAAAGGGCCAACTACTGGTATAAAAAAAAGTCAGCCAAAATACGACCGAATGATATATTAGACTATAGAATTTACGAAATGCTTACTTAAACGAGGTTGTTCCTGTAAAATCAACTTATCTGTCAGAAGCCTGCCTCGGTTTTAAAATTGATCTTACTCGGAGCATGCTCTTGAGTATCGAATAAGTTGAAGATGAAAATCTTGAAGTCATCTCGTTTGTCATACAATTTAGATGTTCGTTGGCCCTTAGTTTTTATAGTCAGTAAAACAACCAATTATGAAAAAAAATGTGACGATTCTGTGGTGTGTTTTATTTTAAGTTCAATGGGATATATCGAATCGACATATTAATGAAAGTAATTACTGTATTGTTAATTGATAATTCATCGTCAAAATATCTAAATGTCGAGTTTAAGGCCACGGCAAGTGTTTTCTTCTTCTCATGTAGAAGTTTTTGAATAAAATTGTACTGCATAGGAATATAAAAACAGGTCACCTAATAACAATAGATATTTAAAATTGTAAACAATACGGCATGGGAAACTGTGTCCAGTTTAAGACATTTTCCCATTCTAATCAGGCTATCATTTTTGATAATCAATATTTTCTCACAGAAAAACTTCTCTCAATCAAAAAATGATTTTCTTCCGTCATAATTATGTAACCTTCATATATATAGATACGCAGAGTGCAGAACCCCTTTCTTTATCAGCAATATGCTGCAAAAAGGAAGGAAATCGAAGTGAAGAATGGAAAAGATCCGCAGCAATGGTTGTGGCATGGGACCTATCCAGAAACTGTTAATAAAGTCATAAACAATGGATTTAATAGAGGATATTGTGGCAGGAATGGTATGTACAAGTAGCTGTCTTTCATGAGGACTGCAATACGTGGATTATAAGCATGTGTTTCGAACAGAAATCTAAACAAAAATTCTGGATGTAATGGAAATATGGGTTTAAAAAAAGATTTCTTTTATCTTGAAATGTGTAAGTTTTTCATTATAAATTAAAGTTATAGTCTAATTACTAAAATTGTAATAATGAATGATAGAAGCACTTCCTGGATGAAATATGGAGATAAGGAACAGTTTTCAAGCTCAAGCTCAGTCCATTTCAACAATACAAATCAGGATCAGAGCAAACACGAACCTCCAGAAACATCAGAGATGGGATATGGTGCCATGGAGGAGTAAGCATCCCCTGCCGACCGGTCACACCCGCCGTGTGTCCCTTTTCAGGATTGGGAAAAAAGGGAAAAATCCGAAGACAATTCAGTGTGTATATAATGGCTTAACAATTAGAATGGAAAACGTCAGTAAGCATTTGAATAAATGATAGGTTGTATTTGCTAACAAGGTCATTTATCGAGCATAAAACTTGCGAAATGATGACTTAAAACAAGACTGTTGATACTCTTGTTTCAATATCAATACTTGATAAAGATATCTTTTGTTTACTTATTTAGCGAATAGGGCAAATAGTCTTTAGAACAAGTTGTCTTAAAGCAAATTCTTTAGCATTCTCGCGCATGCGTAACCTGAAGTAAGCCCATAGTATCCGTTTAATCTCGCTTATATATTTTCTGCGAGGACCACAGAGTCCAACAAAGATCAATTCCGAGTTGCTCTTGAAATTGAAATTCGAAGTTATTTTACTGACTACCTGAAACTGTAAACATTAGCGAAAATTATTGTGACGTTTTTACTATACGTACAATATATATATATATATATATATATATATATATATATATATATATAGTCGAAGCTCGTTATCTCAAACTTGATGGGGTCGAGAAAATACTTCGAGATATTAGAGGATTCGAGATATTCAGGGTAAAGTACTTCAGAAATAAGCGCTTGGGACTTTCATAAACAATGGATGGAAAATCTATTTCTCTGAAAACTTGTATTTAGAATTAAACCTTTCTTAAAATATTTTGAAAATACTAACAAAACTAGAAGGAATTAAAATACATGTTTGTTTGTATGTTATTTAACGTCCTTCTCGAGAATTTTTTTCACTCATATGGAGACGCCACCGCTTGCCGGTGGAGAGCTGCAAATTTTGTCCTATACTCGGCACTTACGGCCATTGAGCAGTGAGGAATCTTTTTCGTGCCAGCACCTACTGCGACACGGGACCTCGGTTTACATACGGTCTCATCCGAAGGACCTGTCTCCACGTCCCACAGTGGGATTCGAACCCGCGACGTAAGGATTACACTCCTTACTCCGCACTCTAGAACAGACGCTCTAACCACTGCGCCACGCGGGCGACTAAAATGCATGTATGATAAGATAAAAGGGGCAAGTGGAAGTGAGCATATTTTTCAGACACAAGGCATTGTTTTGAGTTACTTTAAACATTACACACCCCATTCCAGGGTCACTTCTTGCATTACCTTTTTTGAAAAGTCATATAAAAATATGATTCAAAATGACGAAAAAATCAAACGAATTACCATCAATTATAATACATACGGTAATTATTAAAACACTTCATCAACAAATACAACCTATCATTAAGTCAAATGCTGACTGACGTTTTTCATACTAATTTTAGGGCATTATTTACACACTGAATTGCCTACTGATTTTTCCTTTTTTCCCGATTATGTAAAGGATCCGGAGGTCTGTGTTTGCTCTGCTCCCCATTTGTATTGTTTAAAGGACTTTGAATTTGAATACTCTTTGTTATCTCCATATTTCATTTTTCATTTTATATTCATTTATAACATTTATGCATGCTATCAATAAAGAATTATTCTACCGGGAAAATAAAACACAACACCTCATTTCTCCATGTGACATTTTGTTTTGTTTTTTGTTTGTTGTTTAACGTCCCTCTCGAGAATTTTTCACTCATATAGAGACGCCACCACTTGCCGGTGGAGAGCTGTAAATTTTGACCTATACTCGGCACTAAGGGCCATTGAGCAGTTAGGGCTCTTTTTCGTGCCAGCATCTGCTGCGACACGGGACCTCGGTTTACATACGGTCTCATCCGAAGGACCTGTCTCCACGTCCCACAGTGGGATTCGAACCCGCGACGTAAGGATTAACTCCTTACTCTAGAGCAGACGCTCTACCACTGCGCCACGCGGGAGACCCATGTGACAATTTAAAATCAGTACTTTAGTTGACCTAAACCCACGGTTTAAGCGAGTTTTTCTGACCAAAGAGTGACTGGTTTCGTCTTTCTCTCAGTTGTTTGGGGTTTTTTGGGGTTTTTTTTTTTTACATTTTTTTTTTACATTTCCAATTAACTTCTTCTCCAGAAGCATTGAACCAATGTCAACCAAGCTTGGTCTAAGCATTTTGGTGAAAGGAATTCAGACTTGCTAATAAGAAAAATTAAGGGTACGACCTCTTTCAAGTAGAGATAATTTAGGGATATTGATAATTATGAGGCATAATTTATAAATAGCTTTCTCAATAACGACTAGTACTAGGCCAGAAAATGAAAACTATTGAGACATCCTTATATAATGTAGAATGTATGGCCCTTAAAACTAGGACTGGGTTGAAATTGATATTTCGTATTAAAGGGGCTTACACACAGATTTGAAGTTAATATTTTCTCAACTTTTCTGCATAATATCATGACTTGTATGTTGCTATAGCATTTCACACGGAAATATAATAAAAAACGTATTTTATCTGGAAATTATTGAAACTACGTAATATCTACCACGATGACAAGCCTTGTTTATTACCTTATATGGCTATTGTCATTGCGAACAGCGGATCTTACCTCGAACAACTGTTCAATCATTGAACGATCAGCAAAGTATACTGTTCTACTATATGTTTACATTCTTCTTTGAACACGTGGCTCAGGTCAATCTACGATGCGATATTAAATGGACTGCGGAAAAAAAACAGTTGCAATTTTTTTTTGTTTTATGAACAAATATTCATTACGCTTTTCCGATCGCGTGAACATTTGGTTTTTTCTAAGTGTACATGTACCTGTAGTATTCCTAGAAACCCATAATGTAATTCAACTCATTCAGCTGATTTGTCGGTTTTAAGTCACGTTGTTCCCTCGTATAGTATGTGAAATTAGTCTGGTATGACGCCAGAAAATATAGTTCCTATGCAAGCATGTTTGTCCAGAAATAAATTTTAATACAATAATTGCAGAAAATAATGTCATAAAGAATACTTAATGAAGTTTGAATAAATTCTACAGAGATTTAAGTACATTTCCACTGATATTATTCAGTGGTGAAAAGTGAAACTTAACATAACTTTTCTGTGTATCATGTCCCACGTGCTAGTCACTTCCTAGCCACTTCCGTGAATAATTAACCTTATCCGTTAACATCCTCGCTGTAGTCTCACTAAATCTCGCCAGAGCTACTGCGAACTCCTTGGTTACTATTGTCTGTAGAACACCGAAAAATAAAAGTTTCCAAACACATTAGTAGGGGTGCATTTGTCAGGGAAAAATTGTTATTAAGCCGAGCATTGTAGCCAATGGAAGTTTGAATCTATTTAACTTATGTAGCGTCTATAAAACACATTTACAGCGAAAACGTTTAATGCCCAGTAACGATTCCATGTTACACTGCAAGTAATTACACCCTCCGTCTGTCTGATTGTCTGTCCTTAAAAAAATTTCGTCGCAGTTCTCTTAGCAACTACTCATTACAGATGCTTGAAGTTTTAGCACATTCTTAATCTAGGCATAGCACATGGTAGAATTCATTTTTGTACGAATCCGATGTCAACTTCCTTTTATCCGTGCGACTGTCCGTAACACATTTTTGTCACAGGTTTTTCAGCAATTATTCATCGAAGATGCTTGAAATTGTAGCGCACTCTTTTGCTTAAGCATGTCATATGGTAGGATTCATTTTTTACGAATCCGATGTCAACACTCTATTTAACCATTCGTCTGTTCGTACAAAATTTCTGTGGCAGTTTTCTCAGCAAAAACTCAAGGCAGATGCTTGAAATTTTAGCACACTCTTTGTTTAGACATGCTATATGGTGGGATTCACAAGAGCGTATATTCACATCAAAGCGTGGGTATTACCAGTGAGCATTGGCTCACAGACTTCTTTTTCATATTTAATTGGATTTATGTTTTATATAATGATGGCATTTTCTACATACTAGGTACGAGGTATGGTGCTGGGGTTTATTTTGCTGTGAATGCGTCCTACTCTGCTGGGTATTGCAGACTTGACTCTAATGGACTCAAGCATATGTTCTCTGTCCAAGTTGCGACTGGTGATTATTGTGTGGGTAATAGAAGAATGAATGTACTTCCACCAAAACACGGAGCAGGAAGTCACGTGACGTACGACTCTGCCTCCGATAATCTCATTAATCCGGAAATGTATGTGATATTTCATGACAGCCAAGCCTACCCGGCATATCATATAATCTTCAGATAATCTGTCAACTACTATGTCAAGAAAAAACACAAGAGCATGGACTGCTGTAAACGCGCTGGATTTTGCATTGTGAATTAACATTGGAAGCATTTTCAAATACTACAAGTACTACTAGTAACATATACGGAACGTGATAGGAGTGAAATCATTTGTAATTGCAATCAAATTGTGCCGTTGAGTTCAAAAAATTTTTCTACTTTAACAGTAAAATAATAATGTAGGTTAACATTAATAGTAAAAAATAAAAATGAACAATTTTGGTAGAAACAATAAATATTATTTGTTAGAAAACATGTTAATATATAATTTAAAGTTTTCAATTGTTCATGAAATGATTTTTGGGATTTATAAACTTGTAAAAATTATACAAATGCAAGGCATTCTTTAATGAATAAGCTGATGTCCTATAATAATTCATACATTATAGATGTACATTTAATGTCATGGGGTGATGGTTCTTTTACTAATGATCAAAATGCTGATCTTTTCAAGATTCTTCAAACTTTTCTAAATGAATGTGGTCGTTTTAAAAAAAAAAATTGATTTTAGAAATGAAAATCTATATTTGTGCATTTAAAGAAGATTTTATTTTCTTTCTATCACTATTATGTATAAGTAGTAGACGATATATATACATGTGTTATATTTTGGCAATTTACAAAATGTTGTATTAGGAGAAGACTATATCTAAGTTTCTGAATTTGTGTCTGATCCTTTTGACTCTTTGTCAATAAAATATGTTCAATTCAATTCAATTACAGTATAGACTTGTTGAAGCCCCTCGTCTATTGAAAAAGGTATCATATCTGTTCAAAATTCTTTTTCTTTTCTTCCGAATTGATTTAAACATAAAGAATTTGTTCATCTTAAGAACTTTTTTGAGATATTTTTTTGTTTTGCAAAATTTGAAATGATTTAAACATAAAGAATTTGTTCATCTTAAGAGCATTTTGAAATTTGTTTTGGTTTTGCAAAATATGAAAAAGAAGACCTTGACACTTTGTCAGAATGGATTAAAAGTATAAGATGGATGTTGAAAACCAGGGTTAAACGATTGAGGAGCAATACGAAAACAAGATATCCTTCTGTCTCCAATAATTAAGAGGAAAAGAAATTAAGGATGTACAACACACCTACCCCAAAAATTTCCTGTCGTTTAATTTTCGCTATTTTTGTATATCTTATACATGATTTAATCTACTATGTGTATGTACATTTTCGTCAAAATCGTTCGAGCCGAATTTGGACAGGAAGTTCATAAAGTGACCTCCCTTTGGCTGATCACGCGTACAAAAAAAATTCAACCAACTAACTATAAAATCCCTTATTTTAAAATATTTAAGGTTAGGCTAGCTGTCAAAATTTGCTGAATCGTTTGTTTAACTATTAAACACACAAACAAAGTGATTTTGTAGAGGTAAACTTCGAGAAAAACGATTTTGAAGAATTTAAACTGAAAAACTATGGTTCATTTTTGCATTGAAAAATGCGTGATTTTCAAATGAAATATTTTTTATGAAAAAATCTGTCGTTTAATTTTGAAAAAAAAATAATTACTTCTTGTAACTGCTGATCAAAATGTTCTTGATAATTTTTGAAATTTTTTTAAACGACGCGTTTTGAATTTATAGCGGAAAATCTCCCCTCCCCCTCTCTCCGTAAGTTACGTTTCTCACAGCGTCTTTCAGACTTGGGACGAAAGGAAAGCTATGATTCTACAAATACAAATAAAAATCCCTAGCTGCAAAATATCTTTTACTTTAAAAAAAATGAAGATGAATAAGCAATTTCTGAAGTTTTAAGACCCCCCCCCCCCTCCATTCTTCTCTGCAATGCAGGACATTTGAGCTTGAAAAAAAAACATTGGTTACGTCTGCATAATATATATAATTGGCATATTGAACTCCTAAAGTAATGTCCTTCATTCGTGTATACAGATTAAATATTGACTACTAAAGTTTTTTGTTATTCTAAAAATTATTTTTCTTTTATATTTATATTGTAAAACTATTTTTGTAAGGATTTTATGACCACGTGTCTGGTTTGGAGTTCATATACACAGGTGCAGTTTCAAACCTTTATATGACTTCTACTTGCATTGAATATTATTTTTTAAGTGAACCAACAGTGGTGTATGTACAACTCTCTTGTGATGAAAATGGAATTTATGAACATATAAATTTTAAATTATTTCTGTTTTCAAACGAGAGATGTGCTCCCCCCCCCCCCATCCCCGGATATTGTATCCTTCTGTTGTTTCAATAAATGGAAATGATGTATTCGTCCATATTAACTTCAATTGTACCAAATTGCAAATTATTTATCAATATTAAAATTATTCACGTGCCTGAATCATCTACAATGGTATCATCTACATTGGTATCAATCGTTTTGTTTTTATTCGAGGAAATGCGAACTGAAAGTGTTTACAGTAAAAGATTTTCTCAGTGGGGTGCAACCGTTGTATTAATTTCAGTAAATAAATTTTCACTGTTGATACTTACTTTAATTTGTATAAACTTTGGCTTTCAGTTTTTGTGTTCCTTGCAACACACTGTAAATGTATCTGTGTATTTGTGAGGGAAAAAAACATAATTCTTCGGAAAACAGGAGGAATAACTCAGCTAAGGGGAGGAAAGACATATACCCTCTAAATTTTTAGATCTAGAGTTGTTTCTCTTTCATCAGTGATCTTCTGAAAACGGTTACTCTTTTTAATCTTATTTTATCAAAGAAAAGCAAGAAAATGTTTATTTCGTAATATGATAATATTTAGACATACCGGTAATATTTATTCTCAATGTTATGCCGCCGATTGTAACGCTCGTCATTTTGACGCTTCATAATTAACGTCAAATTTAACGTTATGTTAAACGTTTTATTGAAATCGCAAGAGTTATCTCCCCCACTGTGTTGTACGTCTTTAAATTAAAGACGTTTAAGGAACCTGTCTTTTTTTTCTTTTTTATGGAGGGGGGGGGGATTTATTGCAATTGCGCAAATGATAAAGGATAGGATTTGGTATTCCAAAAGAAACCACAACAAAAACCTCTATTCTATTTTTTTTTTTTTACAATTAATTACATCGGGATCGTATCGCTCGTCATTTTGACGTTCCGTAATTAACGTCAAATTTAACGTTATGTTAAACGTTTTACTGAAATCGCAAGAGTTATCTCCACAAGTGTGTTGTACGTCTTTAAATAGATTATACGATCAATTTATACTTGTCCCAGCTGACAAAGCAGGAAACATAACTGTTAGTCTATATATTCCTATAAAACAAAATTGATTTAAAAAATCTTCGACATGAGAAGAAATCACTTTCTGTTGCCTTAACTCGACATTCAGATTTAACGGCGATGTTTTATCAATAAAAAATAGCTATTCAAATCATATGTCGACTCAGTATATCCGGATAAACTTGACGTAAAACACATCACAGAGTCTGCCACATCTGTTAAACGTTTGGATGATTTACTGTCGCCCGCGTGGGTGCAGTGGTTAGAGCATTTGCTCTAGAGTCACGATGTAAGGAGATGATCCTTCCTTCTCGGGATTGAATCCCACTGGGGGACTTGGAGACCGGTCCTTCGGATGAGATAGTATAAGCCGAGGTCCCTTGTCGCAGTAGATGCTGGAACTATACGCAATTGCCCTGTTTGCCGAGGTCTAAAATTGCAGCCATCCACCGGATCGTTGTGGTCTCATTATGAGTGAAATATTATCGAAAGGTCTCCATATCAGTGAAAAATTAACGATATAAACGTTTAACAAACAAACAACTTGACTATATATAGACGATAAGGGCAAACAAACAATTTAATTGTATGACTAACGAAATGAGATCGTCAGCTTTCCTTATTTGTGTAGTAATATTCTGCTATCACTTCATATGGTGTTTACATCTCCCTTCTTATTCGATACTCAAGAGCATGCTTAGAGTACGATCAATTTTTAAACCGAGGCAGGCTACTGACTGATAAGTTGATGTTAGAGGGATTTCAACAAGCTCTTTTTAAGTTAGCATTTACCAAATTCTGTGATCAATATAACGATCATGTTAACAAATAATACATATATGTCATTAGGTCGAATTTAATATATTTTTTCACACCAACTGTAAGGCCTTTGTTTTCATGAGTCATTATCAAAAGCCGCAGAAATAAAGTATCAGGAAAATCAACAATTTTCTTGCATTTAAAAGTAATTTTTATTTTAAAATAGCAAACAACAAACATATATCTGAAGAAAACAAAAACACCTAACTCCCACCTAGAAATTATTTGATTTCATAGTAAGAAGAGATCAAAGAACTGGTTCTCCTAAAATTTTGTCCTTCCTGTTACAGATGAAAAAAATACAAGTTTCATTATTAAGAGGAACAAAAATTATAATTATAAAATTTGTTCAAACTAGATTGTGAAAGCATGACAATTAAAGAATCAGTAATATTTTTCAATGAAACAGAAGCAGTAATTTTTACAATGATTTTAGAGACAATTTTCAAAACTGAACAACATTTTGTTCAATATTTTCACCATTTTACAGTCATAAAAGTTAGTATGAAAAATAGTATGCGCACATTTGATTAGAAATGGCATCTTAGATATACATGTAGATCCAATCTTTGAACAATTGTATATAAACAATATATTTTTTATAATTATTGTGCATGTAACCGGAAAGACATGCCCATAACAGGAAAGACGGTATTTTGCAACAGACATGTCTCTCCTGTTACAAAATCCTAATTCTGGTTAAGAGATGATTGGAAAGTAAATATATCAACAATTTCACAGTTTGAAATCTGTTAATATACTGTCAAAATGTAGATAAATCTAAAACAAGTCCGTAAAAACATGACAGTGAAATTTTTTAACCTTTAAGTTAAAGAGTATAACAAGAAAGAACAGAACATGCAACAGGAGACAAGTTTTTGTGTATCTAAATGAAATTCTTCATTTTGTTAAACACTGACTTTAGAAAATCCTGAAAATTAACACTGGTGTCCCCAATTAATATATGGTAATACTTTAAGTCAAGTTCTAGATATGGACAAATATTAAGAACAAAAATTAAGACTTGTCCAAATTACACAATTTTGTAAGTAGTAAAAAAAAATATTACGTGTAAATT